ATAATATCGTTGCTTGTGGGATTTTTAAAGCAATTTGGTACAATAATGAGTATAGGAAGTAATCGTCTCGCGCATGCGCGAACAAAATCAGCGGAGCCGTTGCTACGCTTGAGAGTAGGTAATATAGTTAGAATCCAAAAGAAAATTATAAGTGCATCTCTGCTAAAGTGCAGAGCTATATAATAGGAGAGGTATTTAAAATGAGAGAGGATGTCAAAGAGGCATCCATATACAAATATTTATCAGCTGCTAGAAGAAGTTTTGAAAACTGAGTGGGAGAAAGTAGTGTCTTTAGATGAGAGAGGAAGGAAAACAACACGGCGGCTCCACTTTAGGTTAACGGGTTTGAGCGGTGTGCTCAGCGAGGAAGTAGAGCATATATCAGGTGAGATTGGGAGAGAAGGCATTGAGATTAGTCATGATACAGGGGTCACAGATGGATATGGACGCATAGATATGCAAAGTTAATGTGACTGGTTCTTCTATTACTGGCTGAATTAATTTTCGCCAAACGTTGTTGAATATATCTGAATTGCTTAAAAAATGACTGTATGACTGCATTAGATTCTCTTTCTTTCTCTCGCCTTTCTCTCTCTCTTTCTTTCACTCTTATCTTTCTCTCTCTTCTCTTCTTTCACTTCCCTCTTTCTCTCCTCTCTTTTTCGTCATCTTTCTCTCTCCATCTTTCTCTCTCCGTCTTTCTCTCTCCTCTTTCTCTCTCCTTTTTCTCTCTTTCTCTCTGCTCATTTTCTCTTCTTTCTCTCCGGTTCTTTCTCGTCTCTCTTTTTCTCTCTCTTTCTCTTCTCCTCTTTCTCTCTCCTTTTTTCTCTCTTCTTTCTCTCTCTCTTTCTCTCTCTTTTCTTCTCTTCTCTCTTGGTCTCTCTGTTGTCTCTCTTTCTCTCCCGGGAAAAATTACAATCCGGCAGGGCGGAATAGCAATGAAGATGTCTTATAATCGTAACTTAAGGTTGCGACGGGTTTGCATAAAGAGTGCCGGATCAGGGAAAATGATCATCAACGCGCGCTATGTACATTTCGCGTACTATGCTGTTATTCTTTACCTGAATTGCGCCATAGCAGACATGTTTTAATCGAGGGACGACAAGTATTAAGCGGGGCGAACAAAAACAAAGTTTTAAATATGATAAAATATTATGAGAAATAATTATAGACAGAGCTTATAATTATATCTAATCAGTATATGAAAGAATATATGACTTCATGGTCTCATTTTTCTGATCAGTTGGGAGCGAGCTTTTTTGAAGAAATATGACACGTGGCTGTCTGAGTGATGGTGCTTCAGGGCGAGCAGATGGTGGATATTCGTATTGACTGTGCGGTAACTTTGACTACGGTGTGAGTATAACAAATACAGACGGGCTGCGTATTTTTAAAAATAAAAATGTTTTTGGGATATCTTTCCATTTATTTTGCTTTGCTTGGTCTTGATCATTTGTATTTTAAAAAGGAAGATTCATTTGTTGCGAGTCAAGAGTGTATTTTTTTCTTGCCCCTTAAGTGGGACATTACTGACTGACTGTAACTTATTGTTGTGAAGGCGGAATGTTTTAAGAATTCCATGGAGTGATGGATTCTTAATTAAGTTCAAATAGAAATTTTAAAACAATATTAATGGCAATTCTTAATCTCCTTCAGTGAATTGATTATTTGTGCACCTGTGATTCATCAGGCAGTTGTAAATTGTGGTCGGATATTGGGTTTGGACAGCATGTTGAGCTAGGAATTGTGTTACTTTACTTTGAGAACAAAACCAGAGTGTGCGAGTAAACACTCAATAATTATTTTTTAAAAATATTTGAATTAGAGTTCTGGCCCACGGTTGTTCACGGGTTTGAAACAGATTGCGCAGGATTAACTCAAGTTCACATCCTGAGAGATGGGGACTGACAGACACTGTTGCTGCTTGCCGCGCCGCCTTTCATATTATTATTATTTTTTTTTTTGCTTTAGATTCAGTATAATCTACTTCAGTATTTCCCGTTACGTGAGACTTTATACATTCCTCTACGGGCGTGGGGCAGATTAATTACTAATAATAATTCATGAAATCATGCTTTTTGATTAATTGTCTAATCATAATACTTGGGTCTAGGTTTTTGTGAGATGTATTTCTCGCAGCAGTATGTTCGCGTAGATATGGGGGTAGGTAAGTCATTAAATAATTCTTAAATCGCATATTTCTGTCACGTTCAAGCAAATGTTCATCACATGGGAATTTAGATAATTCAGGAATTTCAACTACAGTAATTGCCCAGTAGGAAGCGACCAGATCGACACGATTTCAAAAGGAAATTTCTCTTGCGGTGTCCGTTTTGCCGGCAGAAGATACATTAAATAAATTTGTGAATGCTGCCTTTGAGAACAAAGGCGAAATGATATTATCCCCATCCAAAAAGATCATGAATTGCCTGACTAGATGAGAGCATCCGAGAACTAAGAATTTCCCCAAAACATTGCTCCAAACGATCACTAGTTCCCTGTCGCAGATTATGATTTCGTATGATTGCACGGCGTAGCAGTTTCAGTATATTCGGCGAGCGCTCAAATCGTAAGTTCTCGGTTTCCCCGGGAGAACGCGTGCGTCGTTGGCTGGGAGCTAGGTTTGCGCCTGAATGTTCGAGGCTTTCCTCAGGGCAGTGAACATATAAATTTAGATTATATTCTTGAACTTCTTCCACAATTTGATTAATAACTTGAAGGTTGTCTATCGTGCTGTATCAGTTTCTACAACACGCCTGTTCCGGTGATAACTGTTCGTCAAGTCTATGTTTTATTCTTCTTGTGATAATTTTAGTAAAAAGTTTGTAGAAGTTGAACATCAGACGTTTGGGGCGACAAATGTTTAGTTCATTTCTTGGTCTTTTTTTATCGATAAGAGGTATTGTGCTCAGTAGCCATTGAGAAGGTATTTCTTTGTGCATCAGAATTTCATTGAATATTTCTGTGATTGTCGTGTCAATTACTGGTGAACCGTATTACAAAAGTTTGTAAGTAATAATGGATGTAGTAGATGCTGAGTTTGTCTCTTCCATGTATGTTTTCGTTCAGCACAATGTAGTTCTTTATTATCGACTGACTTTATCGTATCGCAAGGCCTACATTCCTAACATTACTTACCCTGATGCCTTTGTCCTGTCAGTAGATGATCTTCTTTTAGTTCCTTGTTCTGAATTATCTGCAATAATAAGTAAAAATAATCTTATGTCTTGAAATATTCAAATCAATCTCTATTAAATACCTTTTCCAGTTCAAGTAATTTACATTTCGTAATCCAAATTGTTATGGTTTCAACTTCTCAAAAATAGCTCTTTAAATAAACTCACGTAAACGTTTTCAAAAATGTAAGTATACTTATACACATTGATTTTGCATGAAACATTGAACATTTTTTTTGCAATTATTTTCTCAAAAGCGGCCCTAATTGGTTTCTTCACTTATTTTATTAAATCAAAATGCAGTTATAAAAATTGCGCAGATCACACTTTCAATATTTTCGAAAATTGCAAGAAATTAAAATTGTAAAACTGCAATATTGATGACAGATTTTTTTGATTTGTTAAGGTCGCTTTTGACAATATAGTGACCACTGTTATTGTTTTAACTGTAGAAGGAACTGCAGGAAGACCACGTAAAGACAACACGAACACACACACACAAACATTCATGCCTGAAGCGGGCTTCGAACCCGCCACTTCCAGCCAAGGCAGCTATAGCCTTAGCGACCTCGGAGAGAAAGTATTGCAGACGTGCACCAGAAAACGGCGAGTTTTTCACGGCGAGATTTTCACGGAAAAACTCTTATTGCTAGGCACCAGTAAATAAATTTGGATAAATCTTGTCCCTACATGTAGTAAATTACTCTGACACGTTGTGTAGTCACTATGCACCTTTTAGGGGCCTTGATATCGGAAAATCATTGACGGCCAAACGTGTCGCTGGCCGTCTGTGGCCATAGCTAGCGCTTAATCCGTTCACACAATTTTCTCAAAAAACGATATTTCTAGATATAATCGAGGCTGCGAGTTTGGAACGAACATCTTGATTTTTGAGCATAATTTACATGAAGCCTCATCAACATTTACAAAATTTTCTCTACTCCAGGTAACAACTGAATTCGACATAGCTCCAGCTAAGATAAGGTGTAAAAGTACTGAACTAAATATGAATGTATAATAACCTTTTACTAGGATTCATTACTTTAAAGGAAACAATGTGTTAGGCTTGGGAGACTCATTTTCCACTTACCCAGAGATGAGCTTCGCGTTGTCCGAGAAGTTGCTTGCATCACAATCTCATCGCTGTCATCTTGGAAGCTTCCCAGCTTTGTAATCCGTGGTCTGTGGGACGAGGTACAAGAAGTTGAGGGCATGTAAGTGACTTGTGCTAACTGTATGCGCTGTTCTGCAATACGTATCTTGAGAGAAAGTTCGTGATTCACAACTACTTTGAAACAATTTGTAGTTTTAATTTTATAAACTAATAAATAGTTAATAGATCTCAAAAGAAAACAATTGTTATTCCCGATCGAGCTGAATGATGTCGAGGCACCCTTGAAATGACAACAGATATTTTGATTTATGAGGGTTCTTTACTGCAAGTCTCATCATTTTCAAAATTTTCTCAAAAAGAGGATGTAATTTGGTTTTATTACACTTTACCTTCGAATAGCCTAAAAGAAATCTTAAAAAAGTGTGCCTGTCTAATTTTCATTGAACTTTCTGAATTTTCGAAAAAAAGAAAAAGTTAGTAGTGCGAGAAACTATGTTCTGTTGCAGCCATAGGTCTGAATAAAATAAATTCTCCAATATTCAATTTTCAAATTTCATGTTCAGTATATATTTCAATTCAAAGTATAATTATTATATCAGTAATTTAGAGTCAAATCGTTTTCATTTTCAAAAATATATTATTGACAGTGGTACATGGCACTGCCCAGTAATGAAAATTGAAAAATCACAGCCGACTCCGGGTACAGTGAACCTCTAGCGACCAACAGTTTTGGTTCACTATGTCTGATATGTGAGAATAAACTGGAAATACTGCTTTTTCTGTATATTTCTGTATGATTAACATTTTTTAACCGAGATTCATTAAAATATCAAAACGCGAATTTAAAATATCAATATTTTAATTTATATTTAAAATAATAGAACTTTGTTACTTCCTTTACTATATATTTCTGTATGATTAACTTCTTATACCCGAGATTCATTAAAATATCCAAATGCGAATTTAAAATATCATTATTTTAATTTAGCCTTAAAACAATAGTACTTTTATTACTGTTTTCTCTGTATATGTTTTCTTGAAATATGTTTAGAGATCATTCTCCAGTGTTAGAGCTTTCTCCACTCGTGATCCTATATAGGCCACACTGGAAATATCTTAAACTATTGAATGACTTTTTTACTGATGTAACACTTTAATCAGCTATATCCTCTTTATCTTCTGATCTGAAAGGTCTTTTTCCAATATATTTGATGTTTTAGTCAGGTGGGATTTAACAAGCTTTTATCTTGCGGACCACGTTGATGGAGGCTTCAGTATCGAGAGAATTTCCATAAATGAGGTGGAAAAAGTCTTCAGCGATACTATCCCTCAATTTCTAACATTCACTGTCAATGCCCAAAAGAGACTAGATATTCTTCTCCTGCAAATTTATCGGTTAATAGTATTTACAGTCGTGAAGCTGAGTATTTTTTCTGTACTGTACTATTTTCTACGTCCACAAAATACGATCTTGAGTTCCCTATAACCCAATAGTCTAGTGTCTATAAGTTTTATGTGGATAGAACTAGTGATATGGTTCAGTATAACCAATAGCTCACTATATCAGAGTTAATGATCGGCTGACAACTGCCACGGCAGCAACAACTGTCGATTGTATAATGTCACTGATCGAGAAGTCGTAGGGATCTAGTCCCGATGTTGGCAGATTTTCCACACAAACTACATAGTCGTACTCATCCGCTGTCTGAAGGAGAATTGTAGCGGCCGGTGGTTTTGATTGAGTTTTAAGAGATTCCTCCTTAGGCGAAAGCCGGTACAGTACGGGCCACGAACCGGACGCGTTCTTTCTTTCCTCTTCCTGGTTTCTCTTCTCCCCTTAATCAAACTCTCACACGGTGTACACCTACGGGTCCCCGGAATAGGGCATGCACTCCGCCTCCGGGACAAATGACAATAGGAAATGACATGTGACGAAATACAATCGGCTTAGCAGGTTCACGGTATCAACTGGTGTCAAAGCAGTGCTCCTGACTGGGAGGACCTAGGGTACGAGTCCCGACGGGGGGGGTTGACAAGTCGACTAAGTAGCTAGGTCGCTATCTGAAGGGCAATTATACGAATAGGGTTATATAAGGTAGTTTTGCGTGGTTTCTCTGTTCAACACCAGGCGAATGCCGGAGCAGTACCATAACAAACGGGCCACGGACGGGCGCGATGCCATTTCCCTTTCTTGTCCTATCGTCATCCCATCCTTGCGTGGACTAACTGCCACACAAGCCAGAACACCATTCGGAATCTTCGAGCTTGTCCCGGAAGGGACAGTGGCTTGGGAGATACCCGGGTTAGGGAAAAACCCGCAAACCGACGGGTAGGTCAGCGTCAATTCTCGCCATCTAGCAAGGGAAGATTACCGCCGCCTGCCTCAATAAAAACAACAACATATGCACTACACTGACGGAGCTAACGACCTCGTTAGTAGCCGCACATAATTCTTGAATCGTGGAAAGGCAAACCAGTCCTCGCCTGGTGGGGCGGTCGGCCTTGCTGGAGCGCGTCGGCTCGTGCGTGCCGAGGCCGAAGAAGCCCTTCTGCCCCTGGCTCTGGCCCTGGCCCTGGCCCTGGCCCTGGCCCTGGCCCTGCCCCTGGCGCTTGCTGGCCATGGCGCCGCCGCCGCCGCCAACGGGGAGGGCAGGAGCGCGCGCGCACCCACCCGGGTGGCTGCCACGCGCCGGCGCCCAGCGACGGCGGCCAGCAAGAGAAGTCGCCCAGCAACGGCGCCCAGCTACGGCGCCAAGCAACGCTGCCCAGCAACGGCGCACAGCAACGGCGCACAGCAACGCAGCCCAGCAACGGCGCACAGCAACGCCGCCCAGCAACGCAGCCCAGCAACGGCGCACAGCAACGGTGCACAGCAACGGTGCACAGCAACGGTGCACAGCTACGGCGCACAGCAACGGCGCACAGCTACGGCGCACAGCTACGGCGCACAGCTACGGCGCACAGCTACGGCAACTCACTACTGGCCACGGTATGGTGCACTTTGGTACAAAAGTCGTTATTTTCTTTACGGTTTACTAGTTCATTGCTGGGTGTTTACCGGACCGAAAATAAATCACACAACGGTATTGTCAATACCCTTGTGGGCCTTTCTAGTTCGTTATGCCCGCGCGCGACTTTGGAATACTTTATGGCCAGCTCTCATACCAACACAACAAATACAATTGGAATTTTTATGGATGACAATGAGATATGTTCCCGCACCACAATTATTCGCAATTGGTTTGAAGAACAGTGTGAAAAATGCAAACGAATTATTTGGTCACCCAGATCACCCGACATGAATTCTATCAAACATACGGGGCATAATGGAGAGGACAGGTTGTACACAATATCCGGCACCGGCAATTTTCGTAATTAGGGGCAGCTACAGAGGCAATAAGGCTCAATATTTCTGCAGGGGGGCTTCCAACGACCTTTGGAGCCCACGCCACATTAAATTGCTGCACTTTTCCGGGCAAAAAAAGGTCCCACACGATATTTCGAGGTATCACACGACTTTTGTCACCTCAGTGTATATGCATAATGGGAGTTCTTCTTTGAAAGTAATTAGATATATACATAGATCTAGATAACTGGTTTGAAAACATTGATGAAAAAGTTTAAAAAATATACAAAAAGTTTGTGAGAATTTAGGCCCTGAGGGTTGAGTTGGACTATTCCACACCCGGATCCGCCATGGACATTCTATGTTTGAGGAAGTTTGAAATGAACATGTAGAATTATGAAGTAATGATAGGTTAGAACGTTGCTTAAAAGTGCACTCATTGAAACGTAGTTTGAAGGAGTTATGATTTTTTTAGTAATGGCAATGGTAATGTTAATGAAGCTTGTATGAAGAGGAATGATGTAAACTTGCGTAATTCTATGCATTACGATTTGACCAGATTCTGTTAAATGTAACTTCCAAGGGTCTTCGTTACCCGTCAGCGATTTTCGCACCTGCAGAGATGTAGTGGAGGTGATTTTTCTGCG